CTGCTTCCCTTATATGTAATTGTAAAAAAATGCCCACAAAACTGCAAGACACAAAATGTGAAACTGCAAATTTGCATCTCCACATGGACCCAACAACATTTCATGCCAAATTTGGTGTAGATCCATCAGTAGGGAGTGAAGTAGTGGTAGAAAATGCAAAAACGTCCATAAAAACCATAAAACTGAAAACTTTCATAGACCTAATGAACCTCTATACCAATTTTGTGAAGATCCATCCACACCCTACAAGTAGTTACATGAACATACAACAGACAGTACTATTATATATATATATATATATATATATATAGATAGTTACTTTTTCTTTACCAGATGTATACATACCCTTGATAGTTTCAGTACCCTTAGATTTATTGATCGATAACTCAGGCTATTAACAGTGTCCATTGTATTCAAAGTGACAGATTCAACTATCCAGATATCTTGATAATCCAGAAGAAATACTTTGTTACAAGCACATTCAGATTAACGAGGTTTCACTGTATTTTTATACCTCTTATCTGTTATCATTTTTAATAATATGACACACTATTATTGTTAATATGATTTTATCCATAACTGTTGATTATAGTTTATACTGTAACAATTTTGAACTGTACACAATATAGTTGTAAATGGTATACTATATTTATTTCTTTTTGTTTGTGGTCCTTTTATTTTTCAAATATTCTACTTGACCATATGTATAGAAACATATATTTATATATTCTTCCACTATTTTTTGTTGTTATTGCCATTATTGTTTCAGCACTTGTTTTTATCTATACATTGACATATTTTATAATTTGAGTAAATGACTGGTATAACTGTGGTCCTTGAGGGACTTCTGTAGATAGTTAGGTAGAGTGTATGAAAAACTCCCTGTAAATAATGAAGCAACTGACAAATCTATGGCAAGATGGTAAAACTCAGTGCTATATCATGGTAATATTGTTTATAGATCATGGATGACTTTATATAGTAGCCTTATTTTAAGTTATAATTGTCAGAGTTGTTTTTTAAACAATCATAATAGAATATACTTTATAGACCAAAGTCATTCACTTCTGTTTTATTAGACTGGTAAATACAGTTACACCTCTTAAGTTCAAACATTTTCAAACAGTAATGTAATACACGAATATTCATAGTTTATACAAGATCTTTTCATTAGAAGGCATAATAGGAATTCTGATTCAGTGTGTATTCATTACGTACTGATTAATTTGGAAACTTTTCAGCCGTGGGAACGACCGTGGACACCTCCCCCACCCTCTTGTCCTCCTCAGTCACCACCCCAGCCTTTAACACCTTTGCAGCAGCTGGGTGAGATGGGCTTCTTTGACCAGGGACTGAATCAGCAGCTTCTAAAGAATCACAAAGGAGACTTGAATGCTGTTATCTCTGAACTGGTGAACATGGAAAATAACCACTGGTTTGATCATCGACACGTTTCCCAATCTTCCCAGCATTCTCCCATTCAGGGTTCTCACTGCACTCAACTCGAGTTTGACTAGATTATAGCTTATATTGAATGGTAGTTTTTTTGTTGTTGTTGTTGGTTTCTTATCTCTTATGCATGTCAAAATTTCTTATTTGCACCAAGTTAAAAAAAATTTATTTGCTGGGTACTGAACTTCTTTGTAAAATATGTGAGACTGTAATATAAGAAGTTAGCATTAACTTTCTAGTCTTGAATTTTTAAGATTAGAAGCAGAGAAAGGCTCTTTGAAACCTTGTTATTTTTATTCAAGTTAATATTTTGTGTATTAGGCTATTTAGTGTTTAAGGATTAGGGGTACATTTTAAGACTCCACTTTTCCGAGTTTTAAGTTTAAGTACCCAATCTTTTATTTTCTTGTGAAACTTTTAAACAGGTGAAATAATTTATAAAAGATGTTTAAGAAAAAAGCTAAACCAGTATGTTTAGGATTTCAAAGATGGCTTTGTCTGCATATTTACAAAGATTTCTTTTTCTTAGAAAATACTTGCAAACAAATTAAAACTAATACAGTTTGCATATTTATTTGTCAGGTGGTTTGAGTGCACAGCTTTTATAATTTTTTTATCTAAGTTGTATTTTTTTTTTCCTTAGGAGAAAAAGTTTCAGTACATTATGGTGCAGAATATTTTGTGGTCTTGCTGTTGGAAATTTTATAATTTTGTTAAATTGAAGTTTCCTCTAAAGGGATCCAATAGTACTCATTATTTTATCCAAATCCAATTAGAGAAATGTTTTATTAATCACTTTAAAAAGCCTGCCAAGAATGACCCAGAAATAATCAACTTGTTTAAAGTTACATTGTTAAGATTAGAAGAAATTACATTTTTCTAAACTTGTAGAGACTGCTTCAAAGTTATCTTTATCTCAGCTTGTTATGAATTGAAATTGTCCTGTTTCTAAACCTGTGGTTGTTGAGAACTAGCAATCATGCCTGCATCTTCACAGAATTAATGACTAAGATTTAATAAGCATGTGGAAGCTTTGAAAAAGTGAATAATGACAATTAACTGGTCAGCTTCTTCAAACATGTCGGGAATACAAGACAACTAACCAATTTATTTAAGGCTATGAGGTTAAAAGGCCTAACCATCACTCTTAAACCTGCAGGTGTTAGTCAATATGATTTTATTTCAACTTAGCAGATATGGGGTAGATGTAATGGTGTCTATTCTGCAAGTTACAAATTTGGATTAATGTAATATAAATCTGCAGATATTTTAAATCAAAAACTAACTACATCATGTAGTTTGGGAATACTTTAAATCTATTTTTGTCCAAGTCAGAACTAATAATACCTAGATAAACCTCCAGGTTACAAGTCATGGTATAGGTTAGAAGTAATCCTGTTCAACTTTGTGTGGTATATATAAATATAAAATATATATTAATATGTTATATATCTCATCAAATTGTTAAACTCAGTGTAGTACTAAAGGATCAGAATGTTGCAGTTTTCTCTAATAGAAGGGTTTTAACAAACTTCACAAATATTTATAAATGTACCCACTTAGCAAAACATCGTACGTAGCAACTTTTATTATTATAAAGCTAGTTTCTCGTTAGTGACAGTTAAGGCTATATGTATGTAATACTAAGTACTATAATCGTTAATTATAAGCAGTTACTAAAACATTTTTATGGGAAATTGTACCATTTTTACTGTTCAGTAAGTGGAGTACAATGTTAAGTCTGTGGTTGTTGAAAATATTAACAATCAAAAATTCCTGATAAACAAAACAAAATGAGTAAAGTGTAGTGATTTTTTAAATGTTGGATGGGAAAACCTGTGAGAATTTTAGAATTACTTATGAAAATTGTTTTTTACTACCATTAAGCTGATTAAAATAGTAGCACTGCTTAAGTAGGAGACTATTTACTGTTTGCATTTCTGTTATTGAAACCTGATAAAATATTCTACAATTTGTTTTATCACTTTTGATTTTTTCTGTTGTAAAACCTTTTCATATTAGTCTTTAAATGTATTAAACCACAGGATTCTGTTGTAAAACTTTTTCATATCAGACTTTAAAAATGTTAAACCACAGGATGATGATGTTGATGGTTACCATGACATGATAATAAGTGTTCAGTTCATAGAGTTAGTACATACTATACAATTAGTTGTACCAAAATTATTTAAATAGAATTTATTTAGTATTTAATCCTTAATGAAGTGTAATATAAAATATAAAGTCAGTATTGAAAAAAACATGTTTTAAATACACATAACATACAAAGAGTTGAAAGCTTGTAATTTTTTCAGTTTCATATTTATTGTTAGTTTTTTCATACATCTGCTTTTAGTATTTCTAGTCTTTATATCAATTTCAGTCTTGTAAACTAGTATTGTTTATCTTTGAGCTCAGAAGTCAGACTTCCAAATATAAAAGCAAAGTGTTTTGAGTCAGAGAGAACTGTGTAATAAAATGAGATTACTGAAACTTATCAATATTAAATATTCATCATATTTTTAATACAAGGAAAAAAGTAATAAAAGTTATTCTTCAAGTTTAGAAGGAAAATAACAAATAATGATGCTTCAGTGGTACTTTAGACAGTATAGACATAGAGTTTTGGTTTTGATAGACTGTTGCTAGAATAAGATGATAATATTTCAACTCCTATACTGAGACCTTATGTACTTCCACATGAAGAAGACTTCAGTATAAAAATTAAAATGTCATCTTATTCAAGAAACAGGCAGGAGCAGTCCATTAATGCAGAAACTAAACAGCTTATGAGTTTGTTCTAACATGAAGTTATTTAATTTTTTTGTAAAAAACAAATAAAAAATACAGATTTTCACTGATATTTTGCATAAGACACTGGTTATGTTTTCACAGAAGAAGTATGTAAAGTATGTAGATTAGTAATTACACCGTTTCCTCTTTTATAAGTGTTTTTATTTTCTTAGAAACAAGTGTGGGAAGTCATACTTTTGAACCAACGAAATTTGTAGAGTGATAAATTATGTGAACTTTGATTAGATGTAAAAAGAATTCCTATATATATATAGAGAGAGAGACAGAGTGAAGTGTCACCTGGGAATGCTGAGTGAGCAGATTCTGCTATATAAAGTATTTTCAGATAATTCATTAATTTGTGATATGTTCTTTATAACTTTTCTCTGTGAGGTGTAGAAAATGTGCATGTGTGATTGTAGGAAGATTTAGTGCATACTTGTGTTAGTAAAAGGTAGCAATTCTTCATTGGTAGATTACAGTTTGTATAGTACAATATCAAACCACTACAGGGTTTACTGAACAGTAAAAGAAGACAAGTGACAGATTAGGAGGTTTTAGAGATAAACATCAGGTAATATCACTAAATATTTACTGATGACAGAATAACGTCATACATAACACACAAACATATATAACAGTATCTCGTATGTTCACAGTAGCGAACTAGATGGTACAGTGAATATCTTGTACTGTTTTGAAATGTGGAATATGGGAAGCTTCCTTGTGGAATATTGCCTAAAGTGTGCATCTTACAGACCTGCTGCTGCTATTCCCGTAGGTTTAGTAGTATGGGAATCTTCCTTGTGGAATATTGCCTAAAGTGTCCATCTTACAGACCTGCTGCTGCTATTCCCATAGGTTTAGTAATATGGGAAGCTTCCTTGTGGAATATCGCCTAAAGTGTGCATCTTACAGACCTGCTGCTGCTATTCCCATAGGTTTTGTAATGCAATATACTATTAAGATTTCTTATTATTTGCAGAAGTGTAATGATGTGCCGTTGTACATTTAAAAACGGAACAGCTTAAAGATGTATTTTTTTAGAACAGAAAACATAATTTATTTTGAAGGAGCACAACACTGTGTAAAATAAACAAAAACAACCTATTTTACAATTTAACAGAAGCACTATAACGTGTTTAGTATTATGAACAGACAGATTTCAACCACAAGATAATCCAAGAGAACTGAGTTTAGAAACTGTGATAGAAATAACATGTTATTAAATTACACCAGCTCATTTAAACTTGGTTATGCAGCATGTTTTACATTGGCCCTAGAATTATTTAGCAACATTTAAATTGATTGTTGCAGTTAATTTCTAAATTAGTGTAGTGACCAAACACAAAAATTTAAATTTTAATGTCATTTTGAAAGAGTTAATGGTACCAATGAACGTTTGTATTTATTTTCATAGAGGTCTAACCCTTGAAATTTCTTTTTTAATTTAATAAAAATGTTTATAGTATTTGTGAAGGAGGATAGAATTAGAAAGGTGAAAATACAATTACTGTAAAATAGCTTTTGGTGTGTGTGTGGGATAAATAAAAATTACTGTCTCCTCAATTGGTGCCGAGGTGTTATTTTACTTTCCGTGTAGAGAACATTGTCACTGGTATTATGATACATCTCTTATGTGTGGTGCTGGAAAGCTGTAATTACAGAACTGTCTTGCGCAAGCACTTTGAACATTTCAACTAACCCTTCCTCACATACATCTTACAATGAACTCTAATATAACTTGACATTATGTTTTTAAAATTCCAACACACAGAACAGATTTAATTTTAGGATTTATTCACAAAGCCTGTACAGGCACTGTTCAGAAGATATTTTGATATGCCTTGTACTTACACTGCATTAAAAAAACACCTTAATGTACTTTGACAACTGATAAAACAGTTTGTGCAGAATACAGATTGGGAATGTTTTGAACTGAGGTTTGTTTATTTACCAAATTGCTTGTGGATCCAAGACTTTGGTGGCTAAAGCATTTTATACAAAAATGACATTAACATTTCACTTCGTCTACTGATTACAGCACTTATATAGAACGAGTGATTTCACCCAAGTTTTTTGGTCAGTTCTTTACTGAAGTGTTTTAACAGACAAAGAAGAAATTCTATGACGAGTAACCCACTTTGAGACTAATAATGTTTGGAGACGGCTTAAATGGGTAATGAAGAAAAACTTTAATATAAGTTTAACATAACAGCAAATGTACAACGTTTCGACAAGGTTTTGTCATCATCAGGTACACGTAGTTTACACTAACACATATATATATATATATACTGAACCGC